AAAAGGTGCCAGGTACTGGCTGTCCAGGACACCTCTGTGAAGTCCAAGGTGAGTGCCCTCCTCCATGCCATTAAAGCCTCAGTGATGTTGGCGAGAGGTGTGTTCATTCAGCAGGGACTTCCCAAGCGCCTGCCCTGGGCAGGCGCTATGTGAGGTGGGGGCATGTGTCGGGAGATGAATGGGATGTGGGCCTTCCCCTTAAGGAGCTTGCAATCCAGCGGGCATGGACACAGCAGGTGCTCAGATGTGGGATGTGCAGTGAAGGGGAGGTCAGCCTCACTCGAGGTGGGGAAGGCTTCCCAGAAGTGGTACCAGTTATGCGGGGTCCTGAAGGCTGGGTTGGGTTTGCCCATGGGCCAGGTGGAAAGGGCATTCCAAGGAGAGGGACAGTGTGTGTAAAGGTGCGAGCACAGGTAACGCTGTAAGGGGAGCTGGCTATGGGTTCCTGGGAAAGAAGTATCTGCAGAGAGAGGGGGGCAGGAGGTAGGGAGCAGCCATGAAAGGGCCTTTATACGGAGCACAACGGAACAGAATCAACAGCAATGATAGCAATTACTATTCTCTAGATATAATAATGATTATTCTGGTTTTCATAACCACATGTTTATTATGTGCCAGACATTTTTCTAAGGGCTTTACCTGAGCTAATAGGCTCATCCTTAAAGTGCACACTTCAGACGGTGACAGGTGTTACTAGTGGCCCCACTTTGCAGATGAGGTCACTGAGGCACAGGAACATAGTAGGTGGCGGGTTCACACCCAGGCTGCCTGGTTCCAGGGTCCACATTTGCCACTGCTTGTTGCCTAGCGAAGAAAAGCAACGACGCAAAGCCGGGAAGTGTGATGGATGCAGAACTCATTTCAGCAATTCGTTAAACTGATGTCCAGCCTCCTTCCTGAGATTTGGTTTTTACTTAGTTCTTTGGTGTTGGGCTCTTGTGAGGAGGAATACATGAGCATTTCAAAGGCTCTGAGATCTCGGGATGAAAGGTTTCTGTTTTCCAAAATCCAGATTCTGAATAGTTCACAGTCTTCCTATTGTTGATGTTGCCTGGTTAACGTCTCTCTGAATGTCACTTCTTACTCCCAAAAGGCTGCTTGCTGACAGCAGGAATGCTTCTGAGCTGACTGCTCTGTGGGCACCAGTTTTGCCTGGGGCTCTGGTGGATGGAGGATGGGGCAGGCACCAGGCCAGGTCCTGGGGTGGCCCCTGTAGTGAATTGCAGAAGCAGCCGCCCCCAGTCTCCTTCTCTCCTGGGAAGATCAACATTACTAACTCCGACTAGGGACCAGGCAAGGTGTCTGGTGGTCTATAGCTATTATCTCATTCAATCCCTATAACCTTAGGCAGGAGGAGGTCCTAACATACCCATTTCTCAGATGAGGAAAACTGAGCCTTCTGTTGGGGGGAGACTCTTACTCAAGATCATACAGCCAGGAAATGGCAGAGCTGGAATCTGAACCCAGTCCAACCAACTGCAAAACCCACTCACTTTCTCCCACACTATTCCAATATTGTCAGTATTATCATCCTGGCTGTATAAATGAGGAAACAGGCTCAGAGAGGTGGCGTCACTTACCTGAGGTCACATAGAAAGTACCTGGCAGCAGTGGGGTTGCAGCCCTAGCCTGTCTGACTCCAAAGACTCCAGGTGGACATTTCATCCTGGCTCAGCCTGGACTCTGAGGAGGGCACAGGCTCTCAAATCAGGACAATCTTTTGATCTCACTTCTGACTCCCAGCCCCATCGCCCACTCCTAGCTTTGTGGTTCTGGCCGATGGAGAAACAAAGAGGTTTGTTCTGCCTTTTCTGTCCTTTCATCCAATGGCCTGGGAGCCCTGACTCTGCAGTACTGGGGTGAACTCTGAATAAAAAATTAGAAGATTGTGGTAAGTCCTTGTGTCACCCTCTTGACCTTGGGCAAGTCACTGATCTGTAAAGTCGGGTGATGGGTACTCCGTCGGCTTCTCAGGGGAGCTGGGAGGAGGCTCAAACAAGGTGAAGGCCCAGAAATGCCTCTGAAACCAGCCCAGGGTGGTACGAGCACATGGAGGCAGCAGGAATGTTATTGCCATTCTGTCATTTTCCTCCTTCCCTGTGGCCTGGCCTCTACCCACCCGCTTCCCTGCAGCCTCTCCCAGCACAGAAGGCGGAAGGTGCTGTGCAGGCCTCTCTCCAGATCCAGTCAGCCGGCTGCCCTGGGTGGCTGGTCAGGCCTGTTGGGCCACATTTCTCACACGTTTCCTGCCCTCCAACCCGCTCTGAGACCTCTGCCTCCCACCCCATTCCCTAAGGGGAACATACCAGAGAGAATAACCCAGCTGTCTTTGTGACAAAAACCAAAAGTAAATAAAGGAATATTTACCAAGTACCCGTAATTCACCAGGCACTTGAAGTATTCAATCCTTGCAGCAACCCTGAGAATTTCCCCCTGTTTTGTTTTGATGAAAGGGAGGCCCAGAGGGGCCCCCTGCTCAGAGGCATGTCGCTGTAAAGAAGGGGGGCCAGGATCCCAGCTCTGGGCTGTCTCACTCACTGGGAAGCCAGGCCGGTTCCTCCCTCCCATTCTGCACACCCCGCTGACAGGCAGGCAGGTCATTGGGTCAGTGGCCCAAGGCTGTGGCTGTCAGTCTGTCCAGGAGGCAGAAGCCAGGATTACCAGCTTGGGCTGGGAGGGCTGCTTTTTCCTCCAGGCTGCCCAGGATTTTTCAATCACCGGAAGAAATGGCAACGCTGGGACCAGCTCTGCCCCTGCCCCCTTCATGGCAGCCTCATCCCAGCCTCTGCACCAGGTGGGCCTGAAGGAGGCTGCCTTTGGGCAGAGGGCAGAGGCCTTCATCTGGGCCTGCGCCGAGCCCTGACTGCCATGGGCAGACTCCTGTGTGAGCGGGAAGGGACGCTGCACTTGGGGTCAGAGGTGCCGCTTCCAGGGGGCTCCATCAACAATCAGCGTGTGATTTTGGACAGGTCTCATCGCCTCTCTGAGCCTTGTTTTTTTTGCAGAGTGGGTGGGATAAACAAGTTGCGGTGTGCAAGTGCTCCAAACAGAAAGCTCTGGGTAGGACCTGCTGCTTAACTTGCAGGACGCAGGGCAAGCATGAAAATGGGGGGTCCCTTGTTCACAGATTATTAAGAATTTCAAGGCGGTGGTAGCAGAGTACGACACCAGGCGCCGAGTCTTTGAAAGTGCCAGGCCGGTGCGTGCACGGGTGGCCGGACGCCAGCCCTGGCGCTGGGATTAGGAGCAGCGGGGCGCGTCCTTCTCCGGCTTGCTGCAGCTCCCTAGCGCTGTCTTGAGGCCCAAGCCGCGGGTTCCGCAGCACATTTGGCGGGGCGCTTGCGCCATCTAGCGGCGACACGGCGATCAGCACCCGCCGCTCACACCCTGCTGAATGCAGCCTCGGTGCTTTAATCAACCTGCGTGGGCGTGGGGTGATTAAGAGGTATACCTGCCGCATCTGTTTTCACCTTTCGTCCCCCATCGGTCACCACGTCGTGCACATTGTGCTCCATGATCTCTTACACGGCTCCTACCCTTTCAATAGTTCCGTGGTCCACTCACCTGCCCGCTTCCTCTCCGTGACTTGGGTGAGGTTCATTGAGGTCCGCGCCATCCCTCCCGGGGCTGTTTCCTTTTCCGGCCTCTCGAGGCACCTTCCTCCTTCCTCCTCCCTTACGCCATCTCTTTTGCTATTCTCTGCCACCTGCGGGGAAAGCCTGTTTCCTTAGCCTGGCACCCACAGCCGTCTACCTCGCAGCCCCAGCCGCCTCCTCACCTTCCCGGTCCTGGTCCGCCTGTTCTCCTTCAAACAAACGTCTCTTCCTGACATGCTTCCAGCGCCCCCCTCCCCTGACTTGGGGTCTCCTCCTTCCGGTCGGCCTCTCCAGGCCCCACTCTGATGGAAAGACTTCCAGGACTACTAGAATCCCCACGGATGCTGTCCCCTTTGTGTGAACAGCCATACACAGTCAGAGACAAGGCTTATGTGTTGGGGTCAGAGGTGGCCAGGTCGGGGGTGCGCCTGGAGGGTCGGACTGGCTGGCCTGAAACCTGCCTCTGCCGCTCCTGCGTCAGCTTCCCTGTCAATAAAGTGGGGATCAAACAAAATAGGATTTTTGTGAGGATTAAGTGAAATTACTTAAACGATGCATTCAGAATGGTGTCTAGCTATTATCAGCACTGAGTAGGTGTTATTATAGCCATTATTAAATTCTGTATCCACTAATTACTAGCAGTGTGACTTTGGGCATGTGGTTTCACCTCATTGAGCTCCTCCCATCTGGAGAATGGGGATATTATTTATGTTCCTATCCCGGATGGCTGTTATGATAGAGTGGATAGATGGGAGTTTAATGTCTCTGTGGAGCTGTGCTACCTCAGGCAGCTCCCCTACCTCTCTGAGCCTCAGTGTCTTACCCCAGCAAAACCAGGACTCGACCTTCCGGAATCTTCCACCATGAGCATGAAATAAGATAATGTCTACGAAGTCCCTGGTACAACACCGGGCACATGAGAGGAGTTTAGTAAATTGCTTTCTTTTCAAGAATGCCACTCTTAGCTCTTAATCCTTTAAATGTGACGTCAAGTGGGGAAACCAAGACCCCTAGTGTCCAACGTAAGTAATAATTTGCTGCTTATAGGTTGAAGCCACGTGATCAACCCCTGGACTCCATGTCCCTCAGCAGGAGGTTCTGGCCACCTCTTCGTCTCGGTATCCCAGCAACACCGCATGGGGCTCCAGACTTTATACAGGAGAGGGTCTTGGGAATAGCGATCTTGTTGGAAGGGAGGGGTTGTGAACAGTTTTGTCTTTAAGCTGGTCACAGTATTTGGTCACAGTATTTGCATTTGAGCTGGATGTTTGCTTGGGGGCTGGGCAGGACCCTGCACTGCCTGGCACAACTAAGTACTGATAATTGGATACCAAATGAATGGGTCAGCCTTCTCTTTTCACAATTTACCTCTCCTGCCCAAGGGAGTCATGGAAGAAGTGAAGATTAAGAGTGTAAGAAATAGTTCTGTTTATTGATCAGAAGATGGTATAAAATTACAGCAGTTTGCAGGCATTCTGGGGCTTTCCGGAAGGGACATGCAGTGCTCTAGCAGGAGATGGAGTGGAGGCGTGGACCACTGGGCCTGGGCTCCCTTCCTAGGCAGTTAAAAGGACTGGCACTACTAGCACAGATGCTAGTGTGAGAGAGAATGGTTGGCCTTTGCCTCTGGAAACAAAGGACGTGGGCAGTTTGGGTCATCAGACAACACCATGCTTATTGATTCAGTCCTAGCCTACATACGTTAGGTGCTGGCCCTCCCAATCAAGTCACCGTAGATTGCTGTTGTTCTGTACAAGGCTCGTTCTTGCAACCAAAGAAAGGGAAACAGGCACGTTGGTTTGGGAGGCCATCACGGAGTGGTGTGCGTTTGGCTCAGGTCATCTTGCTTCCAGATACACCGAGGTCTACTGGACATGGAAGCAGTGGGCTGGACCACGCAAGCAGAAAAGTGCGCGCTACTGTTTAAGCTCAAGCAGAGGGACCGTCCACGGGGCAGCAGTGTGAGATGAGCATGCTTCCAATTTCATCTTGTCTCTCTCAAGAAGAGGAAGGAGGGAGAGCTGGCAATCAGAGACTGAGCCACGTGATGCTGGGTTCCATAGAAAGTCTTCAGCAGAGAATTCTTCTGAAGTGTAAGAGGTGTTTCTGTCCCGAGAGTCGGTGTATAAAGTCAGAACGAGGGCAGATCGAGGTGTTCAGGTGGTGGTTGGTAGGTCTCCGAGAGCCGATAGCTGTGTCCGCAGTTACATGACGTTTTGGAACAGCTGGAGGGACCTCATGATGTTGTCATCCTAAGAAGGGAGGAGGGGAGAAGAGGGAACGGTTAGAATTCTTTGAGGCTCCTCCCGAGAAGCCCTGGTGAGCCAACCTCCAGCATGGGCTTCCTGTGCACAAAGAACTCTGTGAGGGAGAAAGGGGTGGGGACCCAGGAGATGGCAACTCCAGATAAGAAGCACCTTCTCTGGCCTTAAGGAATCCCAGAAGGAACAAATTATCTAGTGAAAGAGTGGATATTGCTTCTTTCAAGAAGCTCTGGGCAATTGCATTTTATCAAGTGATTTTTCTACATCTACTGAGATGATCATATTTTGTGTGTGTGTTCTATTATATTGATTACATTACATTGGTTAAGTCTTAAATGTTAAACCAATCCAACATTCCTTTAATAAACCCCATTTGTTCATGATGTATTATGATTTTTACATATTGCTGGGTTTTATTTTTTGTATCTGTGTTCAGAAGGAATGTATTCGCCTGGAAATGTTTTAATCTCATAATGTCTTTGTCAAGTTTCCATATTAGAGTTATGATAGCCTCATAACCCAAGTGAGAAGTTTTCCCTCTTTCTCTGTTCTCTGAGTTTGTAGCAGATTAGTATCATTTCTTCCTTAAATGTTTGGAAGATTTACCAGCGGAGGCATCTGAGTCTGCCATTTTCTCTGTGGGAAAGTTTTAAATTACAGATTAAAATCTTTCTTTAACAGACATAGGACTATTCAGATTTTCTATTTCTTTTTCTGTTGGTTTTGATGAGTTGTATTTCATGGGTCAGAGAAGAAAATATTTTGAATTAAAATATAATGAAAATATGACATCAAAATTGGGGGCATCTGAAGCATTACTCAGCCAAAGCAGTACTCAGAGGAAAACGTCTCTCTTTAAATGCATATATTATAAAAGGTTGAAAATCAGTGACTAAATGTCCATCTCAAAAATCTAGAAGGAAACCTAGAAAATTAAATTAAAATAAAAAACAGAGGGAAGGAAATAATTTAGCGCTCAAATTGATGAAATAGAAAGCAAATCTATAATAGAGAAAATCAACAAAGACAAAAATTGATTATGGGTATATGAAATCTTTAAAAGTTTCTAAAACAGTGAGGTCTTATTGCCTAGTGGTTAAGTATATGGGGTCTAGAGTCAGGCTGTGTAGACTTATATCCTGGTTCTCTCACTTACTAGCTGAGTGACCTTAGGCAAGTTACTTAATCTCTCCGTGCCTCAGTTTCTTCCTGTGTAAAATAGCATAGATCATAGTATCTATTTATATAGTACAATAGGTTGTGAAAAAGAAGTGAGTTCATTAATGAATAGCAATAGAAGTTGCTAATGTGAGAAACTAAATTGATTAAAACAACTGTTAAGCAGAGTCAAAAAAGCATACTTCAGTAGGGCATGGTATTTAAAATTGGAACGATAGGAGTTCAACCTCTATCTCTGTCACTTATTATAGCCTTTGCTATATCTCTTAACCTTGAAATGCCTCTGTTTTCTCGTCTTTAAAATGGGTGTGATGAATACTGCTGTTCAGCCAGTTCACAATGATTAAAATGTTGAACTACTTCTAACACTGTTGGTGAAGAGCTGCTGACCTTTGCCTCCCCTCCCCCACCCCCACCTGTTCGAAGCATCTTCCTCTCCAGCTACCTGGTAACCGGCTCGGGACCCCTGGCTGCCCAAAGATCCATCAACTAATGGGTTAATACCAAGTTTAGCAACGGTCCTCTAGGGCACTCACTGCTCCAGGGCATTGGGTCAAGGTCGGTTAAGAGTGGTCAATTCTCAGTCCCTTCTAGTTATTAAATAGTTTGAACATCACCCTGGGCATAGCACCTCTATCTCTCAGGGTTATGATGAAGTTTATGGAATGCACCTGAACCTTGGTAGGTGCTCAGCATGAGTGGATAACTTCTCCCCTGCTTTCTTGCATTTCTAGTTCTTACTGGGTAGAGCTTAGAGTAACTGTCCCTTTCTGAAATAAGGTGGTGTATAAGTGCTTTTTCCTAAAGGAGATGAAAGCTCTTATTTCCAGTTTAGTCTCTGGCCGACTCTGGGGCTGGGCTGTCCTTCAGACTAAGGACAGTGCGGTCCAGCAGGTCAGCAGCATCACCTGGGGGAGGGTTAGAAAAGCAGCAGCTCGAGCCCCACCTGGAGACCTATTGAATTAGAGTCTGCGTTTTAAAAAATTAGTTTCAGGTGTACAAAACAATGTACTAGACATTTCACCCCTCACAAAGTGATAACCCCTCCCCCAAACTATTGCCCCTCTGACATTGTATATATCTATTACAATTCCATTGACTCTCTTCCCTATGCTGTACTCTATATCCCGTGACTATATATATATACACAATAATAGTTCATGTACAATATTGTAGAATCTGCATTTGAATGAGAGCTTCAGGGAAGTTTGTTGTGCCTTAAAGTTTTAGAAGCATCTGTCCAGGGCATTTGTGTTAAAGGTGAAGATGTCTGGACCCCACCCCAGATCTGGAGTCCCTGGGATTGAGGCTTGGAAATGTACATTTTCAGAATCATCCCTGGCAGTTCTTACGCACTCTATGGTTTGAGGATCATAGCTTTAGTTTTTTTTGCAGTTCCTCCCTTGTCGTCTGGGGAGTGGGTCATAAAGAGGCAGGTTGAAAAATGACAGTGTAGCCTACGTGGGAAGCCTGTAGTTTCACAGAGACTCCTCTGGGCTTTTACATCCCCCCTTCCCCCCTTTCTTGGGCTGCCTGGCTTAGCCTGTGCTTAGCCGAGACCAGCCACAGGCCACGCTGGGGAGTGGAGATTGTTGGAATCCTGACTTGTTGCTGATGTTGGTGCTGTGGTGGCTCTGACCTCAGGGGTCACAGGTTCCTTAATCTCTCCTTTTGCAGATTAACAAGCCCCATATTTCATGTCCCAGATTTAGAGATACCATGCCCTGAGATATCTCCTTACCTCCTGACAGGATTCAAGAAATTCATCTAAAGTCACGATCCCATCTTTATTTTTGTCCATTTTCTGAAAGACACAAGAGGAAGCACTTTGAAGAACCTGGCAATCTGCATTCGAAAGCTTATTTATTTATTTTTTACTAAACCAACATTGCCCCGAGAATCAGGGTGGGCTTTCAATGGCCAGACAACTCGGCCCAGGCCTTGGTGGTAGCACGTGACCCATGAGCGTCCTTAAAATGAAAAGATGTGCTCTAGACTCTTATCACGTCATCACTGGGTTATTCTGCTGACACCCTAATATGTCTTCCCTGGACTTGTCTAGCCTGTCCACCTGACAGGAAGAACCCTGGACATGAGTTTCCACTTCTGTCAGTTACCGTGTGACCTTGAGTGAGTCTTTAAGCTTATGTGAGCCTGTTGTTCCCAACTGCAAAGTGAGAGAATTAGACTAGAATAAGCTCCGGCATTCTTCGATGCTCTGTGGCTGGGTTAATTTTTTCCTAAATTACCACTATGATCTTGCCATACTTCTATCTGCTCTTTGCCAGAGCAAGGCTAAACTCTTCAACTTAATGATCTCGCAGTCCATCCCACCACAGTTTCTAGCCTTATTTTCCCTTGCTCTCCAGACACAAATGCCTACCAGCTACACACATGTGCTGTGTGGTGTCTTCCATGTTTATTCAGGCCCCCCGAGAGTTTTATGGAATGTACAGTCTGTACTGTACTACGTGTTCTTCCCTGTTGTCTGCTTAATGAGACCATCTATTCCTGGAGAACAATACTTGTAATTGGTTTCTGTTTCCTACAATACGTCGTACAGGGTGGACACTAACCAGCTAGACGCTTGGGGGCTGACTGATCTAAGTGGAGCTTGAAGCTCACGCGCAGGGTGTGTAGGCTTACCTGGAAGAAGACATCCACGTGCTGCCTGGGAGTGTCTTCTCTGAGCACAGGGTACGTGTATTTCCCCATCATGTCATAGATGGCTTTGACAATGTCCATCATCTCCTGCAGAGGGGACACGGAAGCACACAGTGTGGGAACCATGAGGCCAAGCTCTTCTTAGGTGACAGTTTGGGGCTCCTTGTCCTCCTTATGAAGGAAACTGAGTCACAGGGCCTTCTTCAGCTGATGAGAGGGTGTTAGAAAGCAAGCTGAAGGGGTTGTATTCGGGAAGCACCCTCCTAGAGAGAGGGCAGTGGACAATTCTTGAGCGTTATCCTCAGCGAGGGGTTAGGTGTGGGGTCAGGGTGGACATATTTGTGCACAGATCACCCCACCTGCCATTTTGGAAGGCCCCCTCTCCATTCCTTTGCATGGCTGGGCCTGGGGTGGCTGTATTTGTACCAGGTGATTTGGCCCTGTGACCACAGTTGATTGGAAGAAAGATGGACATCTGAATAAAGCCAAGCGATTCTGTGTAAATATCATATATACTACTACTTTATAAAGTGATTTTTATAATGTAATATATCACATGAACTTTTCCATCTTATTACTCTTGCATGATTTTAAATGGCCACCTGTATTTCCATTATATGTATTTACTGGGAATTCATTTAACATATCTGCTATTTGTGGGTGTTAGGGTTTTCACATTTTGGGGATAGTTCACCACTTTAGGACCTGAAACACCTAATAAGCCCTCAAATATGTGTTGAGCAAATACATGACTGAATGAATGAGGAACAAAAATTGGAGAGAACCTTGCTGGGCTGAGGTGAGGACTGGAGCTCAGGAAGTGGGATGATAAATCCAAGTTTCGAGTGAGATGCCGGGATACAGTCGCTACCAAAGTGAGTTTTGAGCTAGACCTGTGGGTATTTCACTGACTAGACATCACATCAATTTTGAGGCTCTAAAAGTGTCAAGCAGTGAAGATACAGAAATTACTTGTGATGATTTCTTTAGAAACCACCTTCCATCACCCCCTTCCATGGTTTTATTAGTAGGTCAAATAAGTTGTGGTTGGTACAATCCAATTGTATTCTCCTCTTCGTCAAAAATCTCCCTTTTCTAGGTGATATGTGCAAATCCTACTATTCCAGCTTTTAGCTTTCACCTGTGGCTATTAACCTGTTAAATACAAGGTCCCCTGGGAAAAGTAACTCTAAATGGAAATAAATCATTTATCCCCGCTTTGGAATGTGCGTTGAATATGTGTAACAGTGAGAATGAAGGAAATCTGCTTAACTCTTTCTTTTTTTTTTTTTTAGCTGAGCCATCCTGCCACCTGTTGGCTGCTCAGCTCAGGCCAGACTCGAACCGCTGTTGCTCAGAGCTCAACCCCTTGAGTGAGCTCTTAACCAACTGAGCCACTCAGCCAGCTGCTTAATTCTTTCTTAGTGCCTGAGAAAAGGGCAGGGTAAGGCAGTGCGGGTGGTCAAAGGTGACCTTCTCCATTTTTCCAGGAACCAGCTCTCTTGGCCCCAAAGCAGATCCCTTTTCATTCAGACAATTCCATCATTATGACGGGGGCTGTGGTCTATTTAATTCGACACCTTCCCTGTAGCTCTCGCATGCCCCCGGCCTCACTTACCTCTTTGTTTATGTATCCATCTTTATTGATGTCATACAAATTAAATGTCCACCTTAGTTTCTCATGGACGGTTCCTCTCAGTAAAATTGACAAAGCAGTTACGAAGTCCTGAGAAGTGGAAGAGGCACGAGTGACGTTAGCCACCAAGCCTTTGGGCGGGGTAAAGCTCTGTCTTTGAGTCCGACGCTGTGACTGCTTTTACAGAATGGACTCTGCCATGTCCTCTGTTCCCTGAACGATATGGCCAAGCTCAATGACGAGTGTCCCTCCTTCCATTCCCTACCCTGCCCCACTATTTGGGAGGGAGGCCCCTTGAGGAAAAATGGAGCTCTAGCTGTGCTGACACCTCCAGACACAGGTAAACACAGCCTCCTACGGGAACTGCCTTATGCCACGGCTGCAGTTACTGTACAAGTGGTGGCATCGTCCAGTGGCTAAGAGCGTGGACTCTGGAAACATCCTACTTGAGTTCAAATCCCTCCTTTACCACTTTCTAGCTGCTTGACCTTGGGAAAGCCCCTCAAGTCTCTCTCTGCCTTACTTTTCTCTTCTGTAACTGGCAACAATAGCACCCTACCTTGTAGGGCCATGGTGAGGATTAAATACATTAATAAATGCAACGCCCTAAGTACGGAGCCTGCCACATGGTAAGCTCCATGTGCATGTGACCTTTTAAACTGTTATCACTAGTCCCGTGAGGCCTAGCGTGTCAGCGTCCCATGAGGCCCGGCATTCTCTGTCTTTAGGAACGACTTACTAAACAGATGAGGGTTTCTTTGTCTTGACTGAGGGCATTTGATGATCCAACCCTTCCCCCAGCATGCCACGGTTTAGAGGGAGAGAAGATGGGGCCCCAGAAAGTCCCTCAAACTTCACGTACCTCGAACTTCACCGAGCCTGTCTGGGTGGTGTCAAAGGCGTGGAAGAGGTAATGAGCATACGTGCTGGCATCTGCAAAGCAGAGAAGGGAAGGCCGGTGATGTGAGCAGGGGCTCTGCACAGGGGCGCGAGATCACTTAAAAAGGCTAAGGCAGGGAAGAGGGTGATGCTGGTGATAGAAAGGAGAAAGCCACGGAGTAGGAAAACCCGCTGGGTGAACTGAGACCCATCTGGCTCTCCTGGGGTTTAGGTGCAAAGTGTTAGCAAGAGCCAAGACATGCCCTAGGCCCTCCATGTAGCCATCCCCAGAGAAAGCCCGTCCTGCCTGCCTGTGTAGCTCTTGGTGGATGGATGGCACGGTGACTGCAGGGAGATGCTCTCTTGAGCCGCCGGGCAGTGCCGCGGAATGGGCATTCGTTAGGAAGCTGACAGGCCTGGGCTTGGATAGCGGTTCCGTCGCTGGGTAGCTGGATGACCGCAGGCATCTAAGCCACCTCTCTGAGCTTCGCTTTCCCATCTCTGTACGATGGGATGAGGCAAGACCTATGTCTTCACATTTTTGAAAAAGTATGTTAACCTTTTCACAGACTCACATCATCAAAACCACCATTCAGCCCACCCCGTGGTCAAAACTCTATAAGGAGTGGCTCAGTAGAACTCAACGCTCAGCAGTTCTGGGGCCTGCATGCGCCGAAGCTGCCACCCCACTTGAGCAGGGGCCCCGTCCTGGGTCCCACACCTTGAAAGGCTCCTGTCTCCTGCTGAAGGGCCTATGAGAAGCGGAGCCCAGGAGGTGTTTGGGACTCTCCTTCCTTAGGACCCCACAAAGGGTTCTGTAGGAAATAGCTTTTGGGGCAGGAAGTAAGGTGGCATGTGACACCTGGAAGCCACAGAAAGATACTGATGTCCCAGGCTCATGAGGCAGAGTGAGTCCCCGCAGGAGCCGGGCAGGGAACAGACCAGCTGTGGGCCTGGCATACTCGCTTCATAAGCACAACGTTCTGTTCCCTGCATCCTTTTGGATTCGTTTACTTTTGTCGCCTCTGGTACCTACTAAAGCTCTTTCTCAAAATTCTAGCTTGCCTCAGCTTATAAGGAAAAGAACGGAGGGTGTGTGGCACAGTGGTGGCGCTTCCATGACAAAGCTTTATGTCAGGCGCGTATGAGATCTAATCTTGGTCTGCCATTCGCTCGCTGTGTGACTTTGAGTGAATTGCTTAGCCTCTGTGAGACTTATTGGGTTGTCGGAAAAGTCATGACATATTTTGTCTATGTTTTTCAAAGGTCATTTATTTATATAAAGAACAAAGATCAATCAATGATATATTGCCCGTTTTGTTCGATAACCTCTTGCCATCTTTCAGTGAGCTTCCTAATTCCTTGTTCATAGGAGGACCTGTCTTTATTTGCAGAAAACTGAACAAGGTGCTGATTTACAGCCTCATCTGAATTGAATGTTATACCACGCAAGGAGTTTTGAAGAGAGCGAAACAAGTTGGAAGTCTGATGGCGCAAGGTTAGGTGAGTATGGTGAGTGTGGCATCACATCCCATCCAAGCTCCAATCATTTTTGATGGGTGATCAAACTTGTGTGTGGTCTTGCATTGTCATGATGGAACACAACTCCTTTACAATTAACAAGCTCTGGATGTTTCTGGATGATGGATTTGTTCAAACTGTACAATTGCTGACAACACACATTTGAATTGTTTGGTTCCTTGGTAGGAGCTCGAAAAACATGACACCTCTAAAATCCCACCACACCGAGAGCATAACTTTCCTCTGATGAATGTCTGCTTTCGATGTTGTTTGAGGCAAATCATCATGTCAGGACCAAGACCTTTTGTGCACCATTGTTGTAAACAATCCACTTCTCATCACCAGTTATCAGTTGCTTCAAAAAAGGATTGTTTTCCTCACATTTAATGAGTATATTGCAGATGTTTATATGTGCCATCAAATAAACTTCTTTGTTATATATCAATATATAACAAAATATTGAGCTTGCTTATGTATCCCAGCTTCTTCAGGTGGCCGTGAATGCTTGAATGATGGATGTTCAATGTTTCTGCAATCTCTCATGTCATGTAATGTGGGTTTGATTCGATCAATGCCTTTATTTTGTTGTCATCAGCCTCGGTGGGCCTCCCTGACTGAGGAGTGTCATTGAGATCAAAATCACCAGCATTGAATTTCGTGAACCATCGTTGGCATTGACGTTCTTGCAGAGCAGTGTCACCGTAAACTTTATGCAACTTTTCACAAGCTTGATGCGTGTTCTTCCCTTTATGGAAGTAAAACAGTAAAATATGGCAAAAATGCAGTTTAGTCTTCCATCTTCAACTTGTTGTAAAATCTCCAAAATTCAACCAAATTGCTCAATTTTTTTTTAGAATAAAGCTAGAACTGTCAGCTGTCAAATTACATAGCAATAACATAGATGTGAATGACTCTAGTACTTCCAAAAATGAACTAGTGCAATCTGTTGCAAACATACGTCCTGACTTTTTTGACAACCCAATAGTTGCCCCATCTGGGATTAAAATACCTATTTTCTAGAGCTGTTATGACATCGCTTTATCAACCTCCCCTCCTCTCCCGGAGAGAGTCCATTTTCAGAGCTCTTTTCTGCCTAAAGCTTTAGCAAACTCCATATCTTGCAGTAAATGGAGGGGCCTCGCTCTGAGTTCTCCCCAATGTTAAGGCAGAGGCAGATAACAAGGAGCATGAACTTGGAGAAAGAAAGGCTGGCTGCTCACCCGAGAGGGAGCTGGGCAGGATCTTTTCCAAGGTTGGACTCACCTCCATGAGGGAAAAACTGAGCGTAGATCTGCTTGAATGTTTCCTCATTGACCACACCACTGGGGCACTCCTGCGGGAAAGGGGCAGAGTCAGTGGGAACAGCTGAGGACCTGCCCCAGGAGGAGTAGGCCGGGCCCAGCCTTGGGGTCTAGGGTTCCTCGCCATCTCTGGTGGGCAGGGACTTCCGTGTCTCTAAGGTGGGTGGCTGGGAGGCAGCCCCTCATTCTCCTTAGGACTGAAGCTGCTTTGCAAAATGATAAGACTTTAATCAAGAATGGGTACTAGGAGGTGGAAAAGGTTTGGGCTTTGGAATGAGAAAGACCTGGGTTTGGTTCCCGGCTTAGCCCTTCTTAGCTTTGTGATTGGGTGAGTCAGTCTCCAGTCCTCAATGTCCTTACCTGTAAAATGCGGCTAACAGGACCTTCCCAACAAGGCTATGATGAGGTTTAACATATGAAATAACATGGTGAATTAATACATTGGCATTCAGGCTTACATATCAGTGTCCCTGAGCTTGGTTAGCAAGAGACCTAAATCCCATTATTTCTGGGGCACCAACAACATTGACTTTGTGAATCGGTTATGCTAAGGTTAGAACCTGGGCAGAGTGAATTCTCCAAGGTTGTGCCATCCTGGGAAGTTTCTGGGCTGCTGGCCAGTTTCCCACCTACCGAGATTGCCCCAGCCTTGCCTGGGGTATTTCTTTCTAGCCAGGTAATCTTGCCCTCACACCCCCTTTATAGAGTTGACCTTCCTTTTTACAACTACACATATGGAAAAGCTCCCTGATGGGCCCCATTGGCATTTGGGAGAGCTTAGCCCCAAGTGGGAAATCCTGCCTGGGCCTCCAGAGGCCGGCGGGTCTTACATTTTTGAAGCCTCTATAAAGGACTTGCAGTTCCCTCTTGGTGAAGTTGGTCTGGGCCTCAAGCTGCTCCAGTCCCTCAGGCCGGTGGCAAACCATGGTCATCTCCAACTCATCTTCAATCTTATCTGGAACCAGAGGAGACGATATTGGAGTGGCTGACCTCGGTGGTCCCATGTCGGACCACAGTCTGGGCTGTCAAAAGGGTGATCTGACACATAGGGTCATGGGCTGGGGTCACAGTGCAGATGACCTTCCTGCCCGAAACCCCTGCCCAGTCACTTTCTGCCTCACTCAGTCCAGCCATTACTCCAGGTGTGTCACACCCACACAGGGAGGGGGGCTCAGCGCTGGAGATAAAGGGTCCCTGGTGGGGATGAGGGCCGAGGTGCTAACAATGAGTCCATAGGAAAACATTCCCCTTTCTCTGGAAATAACTTCTTTGCATATTCAGTTTGTCTCTGAATAGTCTAGAGACACAGGGAAGTGAGCGGAAGAACACTCTCCAACAGCAAAAGGAAACAAATCGATTAAAAAAAAAATAGAGTAAACTCTCACCATTTGAGACAACTAGAGGAAGGCTGGCATAATTTAGCAAAACATTGAAATTATAGCATGTTCAATATTAATTTAAAAACATGAATATATTTTACAGTATTGTTTTGTAATATTTACTAGCTATCTAAAGAACAGGAAAATGACTTGAATGGGAACTACTTTATAGAAACGAAAACTTAAGAAGCATTTGAAAGGCTCTAAAAACAGTTGTCTTAAGAGGTAGTTTAACTGTACTACAATGCAGTATAATTTTTGCACTAGTTATTTAGAAAATGTCAGTCAATTAAAGAGAGAACTCTACCCATCTTCTATTGAAGCATCACAAAATCCAAATAAGTGGGACCTTCAACATTTACCATCACAGAAGGACGAGTGAGTGTTTTCCTCTGGGCCCTGCCAGATTGCTTTCTATAAATTTACTCCAATCAACAATCAATTGCCACCTAACCTTTTCTGCCCATTGTTGTCATGCAGACGTTACCTAATCCATATATCGAACGACAGTTAAGTCTGGGCTGGCAAGAATAGGGATGAGACGGGTGGGCTGCTGGGAACAGACACATCCCCCTCACACGGACAGTGAGGCAGGCTGAGTTTCTGTCAGAGAACAGGGCGAGCTCGTGCATTGCATTGTGGGCATGTCTCTAGATAGTGTCAGCCTCTTTGCACCAGATTCTCTCTGTAGTTGCCACTTTTCCTTTTGATACTTTGATTTCAATAGGAAAGGAAACCATCAAAGTGACTTTTTAGCTGGTACCTTTTCCTAAGGTGATGGACAGTTGGGTAAATTTTCAAGGGAGAGACAGAAGAATTTGGTAACAATTCCTAATCGTTGTCTTATGTGCTGGGCAGTGAATATCACTTTATCCTTCCGGGAGTAAGGCAGATTATTCAATATAAATAAGATAATCTTTATGCAATGTAGCAAGTGGCCAATTTCCTTATAATTCCTACAGAGGCTTTAATTGTTGTTATGTTTGTAGCTAACAAGTAGCAATTACCTAAGCACCACTTATAAATCAAAGGGCCAATTCTCAAACAAACAACAAAAAAAGCCCCACATAAGTCTAATTCAGAATACTCAGATATTTTTTAACTTATTTTAAAAGAGAAATCAAATTGTTGGTTTAAATCTTCTAGCATTAGATTTAATAGCAATTTTATTTTAAAAATACACAGATACTTAACACTGTGAAAAAAGGTAAAAGTTATATTAAAATGTAAATAAGGAAGACGTAAAAGTATTTTTGGAAGAAATGATGTATTTTTGAAGGCTAGGTCTAGTATACCTTTTCAAGCTTATCTCATCTAGGAACTTAAAATATTTTTTTTGTGTGTGCAATATTGTCGTAGTTTTAAAAAATCTCTTTGTGACTGAATTCCTCACAAACTCAGGAAAATCTCTTTGCAGAAGTTTGAGAGTCTGATTCAGAAACTGCTCTTGCTTACTTACCATCTCTGTTATTAAAAATGCACTAAATAATTATTAAAATAGCAAACATTAAACCCACTTCATGAAGGTGGAACTGGACTCCATTAATAAATGAGTTGTTTGCTGTATGAGTATCAGAGTCAATTTCCATATCACAGTGATTCTGTAATACCTGAATATTTGGATGTTGACCGCCTAGCTTTTGTCTTGTTTTGCTTTTTCATCACCCTCTCCTTGTCGGGCTGTGGTAACATCAGTTATGGAAGGAAATTCATGTCTTTGGGATGCAAGATGATGGAAGCAGCCTGTCTGTGGTCATTAGGAGCTTAACCTAGTGGTTCTTGGTTTTTCTTTCTTATTGTGTTTCATAGTAAGAACTACATTTTGCATCACAATCCACTGGACATCTACATATAAGCAAAAATTTTATGAAAGAATACCTTCCCTCACTAATGTGAGATGTACTCTATTTTCAATTTTAATCTATTCCTTTGTAAAAATGTGCTGATGGTGACCCTCGTGTGTCATGATGTGTGAATGGTAAACACTAATTTAGGTTGTTGTTACTTATGGCAACGTTCTAAGGGTGCCCACATTAAAGCATCCCGTTTTTTCACACCAGCTCTCCCCCGCTTGTCCTTGGGTGCATTATGGTGCCGGCCACTGTAAATACATCCTGACGCAAGTTCAGAAGGGGCTGCAGAGGTTTTCCCTGCCCCTCCTGTTATACCCCCCAGGAGTCCCTGGGTTCTATGCGGGAGGTCCCAACACAGGGAGAAAGGTGGCCAAGCTCCCAGGTGGAGGAAGAGGGGAAATAATTCACAGGTAGTGAGCCGGCTTGATTGTTTCTTTTAAGGTTTGTTAAGAGTCTCTGAGGCCAAATGTTGCTTGTTATTATAATTTTTGTTACTGAAAATAATGATGAGCCAGTTACTAAGTCAGATTGAGCTTGGGTGAGAGAGATAAAAAATCAGCCTAGAGATTTCATACTATGGTGATAACTACCTACCAAGAATGTATTAGAATACCTTCTGTTTGTAAAGCACTTTTAATCTGTAAGATGTTTTCATGCCTGTTATCTCACTAAACCTTGTGTGTGGTGGGGAGTGGGGGACCACTGCCCTCTCCATAGGAATATTAGGAAGAGGGGTGTCCTAACAGAGAGAGTTCTCTAAGAGTGCTTTAAAAAGTGATGAGCTGTCTATCACTCAGGTGGTTAAAGTGAGACAGAATAACCAACAGTAGAGGTTGTTGTACAGGAAATTCCCAGGCTGAAGGAGAGACTGGAGAACATGGTTCAGAATGAGTGGTCCTTAACGTTGTGGGGTCACAGGCTCTCCTTAGTGTGGGATGAAAGCTTTAGACCCTCAGAAAAAAAAGTGCACTAAATCATGTCATTTTGACTGTGCTCGCTGTGAGTTCCTATATCTTGTAAGCACATGAAGCCCATGTTATGGGCTTCTAGCAGAGGTGATCTCTTCCAAACTCTGTCACTAAATGGCTTTGCCTGAGTCCTGGGTCACATAGCCAGTTGGTGACAGAACTGGACCTAGAAACCAGCCAGTCCCGGGTCTCTTTTACAGACCTGGCTTCCATGTCCCCCTCCGATGGCTTCTGCTTACTTGAGCACAAACTGCAAATTGGTTTGTAATCTGCGTTGCAGTCGCTCCGCTCCTAACAAGCTCTGGCCGACGCCCAAGTTAGGACCTCAGACTGAGTAGCCGGAAGACCCGAGCCTTTGGTCTTCTCCCTATTGAAGTGTCTCCTCTGTTAGGTGTCTGACCACGACCACGACCGGAGACCATGGCCGTGAGGATCTCCTTCTCCCTGGACTGGAAAACAGTTTCTCCACCATGGGATCTCTGGGTCGGACCTTATACCCACCCACCCAGTTCTGAGGTTATAAAATGGTGGCCCTTGGCATGAACACAGCCCAAAGATAGGTCTCGTTTGGCCTATAAAATGTGCTTTAATTTTTTTTTAATGAATTGCCAATATGTAAAGATGAGGGGTTCATGTACAAGTTTGGATTTCTGATTTTTCTTGGAAAATGGGATTACCTGACAACTTTGGTCTCAAGTTCTCACAAAGGCAATAGTTAACTAGAGCCGAGCCGTGGCCGTTCCCTCTGAGCAGCCAAAGCCTGTAGCCCTCGCCCCTTCACTTATGTCCTTTACGCTACTTTCCTGGCCCCACAGGCACTTCAGTTTGGGGCTCCTGATCTGCGTCTACTTACCTGTCACCTGCCTACCTTTCTCCTACGTCACACCACTCAGTCTACCCCCCACTTCCTCCCTCATTATTTGTTTATTTAAACACGTTCCACTTTGTTGCACAAAGGACTCGAAGCTGATTATATGAAATAAATATAATAAAATAATAAGAGATAAAGTAATAAGAAAAACTGCCTCAGGAAATGTTGATTAGATTAAGAGGTCAAGACCCCAGGGAAAAGAGAATATAGAAATTCAGGTCATTTATTCTAAGCAGTTACTATACTTGCGCCACAAAATGGCTCTGAGCTCCTACATACATTTTATTGCCTATGAGAGGAAAACACACCAGTTTCTTAGGGGAGCAAAGCTTTTCCTATAACTTATCTCTAAAGGAATGTTTCCAGCCATTTCTGTGTAGGAGGGGTTTGTTACCAGGGGACATGGTGAGCGAGAAGGCTAATCACAACATAGATACTTGATTAAAAAGCTCTTCCTTTGAAAGCAATGTGACCAAAGTAGTCAAGTTAGTTTAAACTTTTTTACCTCTCTGATACTGGTAATACCACCAGGCGATGTCTAGGAAAAAGTAAGAAAACATTTTACCAAATCCATTCATCAAAAAAGGCAAAACACACTTTTATTCCCCATGGAGTTTCCGCTCCGAGGGTGTCCAGGCCACTGTCCAGCTCGACACATGTGAAGAGGCCCCATCGCAGAGCTGGGCTGACCTCGTCAGAGCGGGTGAGAAGGGGCCACCTTGCAGTGCCCACGACTCCCAGCAGGGGGCTCATTGAACATGCCCGCAGCCATGCAGCCATGCAGCCAGAAGAGAGATGGGATGGCATAGGGCAGAGGATGCACGGATGTGAATGGGCCTTGGCAATACCCGCATGTTTGATTGAAGAGTGGCTTAGAAGATACCCTCCACGACGGAGGCCCCAATGCCCCTCCCTGCTGCCTGGCGTTTTTAAGCTGCGTGCCTTGCAGGGTTCTTTATTTGCTCACTCAGCAATTATTAAGGAAGTATCTATGATGCATATATATATATATTGGTGAATGAAACTCCCCTGTTCCCTGCTCTCACGGAGCTTACAATCTACAAGTCTGCTTCTCTCTTCCCTTCTCAAGCTGATAACTAACAAAGATGCAGAAAAGGAAAAAGGCTGTTGAGAAAAACTCATTAGCATGTTAGGACATCTGGACAGAGTGGATGCAGGTGAATAACATTCCCTGTTATGCCAAATATCAAACATAAGACGCAACATCAGACCTGGAAAGTCCTCCACGGCATGGTGGATTGGGGGGGGGCGGCAGGGGAGTGGGAGAGAGGGTGTCCCAGAGAGCGAGAAATAGTGGGAGTCTATTTAGGGAGAAGCCTGGGTTTCCTCCATAGGATATACTTGAACTTCTTCTTGAGCTTCCAGTACCCCTGACCAAGAGCGTGTAAGGCAGCCCAGCCACCACCATGAGTATGTTTTAGTCACGCCCCACCCACAGCCCCAGTAGGAGGGGCTTATTTTCCTGCTGCCCCTAAAAGTGGTGGTACAGGTGGCTGTCCATTGGCAAGTGTTTCTGCTCTTGTCTCCGGACCTGGAGTTCACAGGGGAAACTTATTTTGCTGGATTTCGTTGCCCTCTTTTTATCACTCTAAGTAGAGCTTGTATTTAATATTTATTTTTTTCCAATAGGCTTTATTTTTAGAATAGTTTTAGGTTTACAGAAAAATTGTACAGAAAATGCAGCTCCCCTGTTATTGACACCTTGCTTTGGTGTGATATATATGTTACAACTGATGAACCAAGATTGACATATTATTTTTAACTAAAGTCCGTAGTTTACATTAGAGTTCACTCTTTGGGTGGTATAGTTCTGTGGTATACAGTTTTGACAAATGTATAATGTCTTGTGTCCACCAGTACAGTATCCTACAGAATAGTTCCACTGCCCTAAAAATGCCTAGGTGGCATTTTCGTAAGATAAGTCTGCAAACATAGATCGATCTTCTCTGGCGTGCCAGGGATGTGATAGGTATTGCGAGGGAGATGCAAGGACACTGTGTCTGTTCACGTGCAGTTCTCAGACTGGTGGGAAGGAGGCATGCATACAGACCAAGGATTACAAACTCAGATGCCAGTGCTAGTTGGTAGGTAATTTAGATGTGTCAGGGGATGGGCGCACAGCCATAGAGAGTTGTATGGGGGAGCCATTCCCCCACAAAAGGGAAGCAGCTGTTAGTCACTAGTTGTCATCATGTAGAATTTAGCCCCAGTGAGTCCAGATGTTTAGATTTTTCAAGAGCTACTACAATTCAAAGATTGTTTGTGTCCTGGTTCTTAGGTGTTTTCAGTGAGCTTAACACTTACAATCTACAGCATGGGCCAAGTATAATATTCCTGTTTGTGGGATGTTGTGGATTGCTGGTCAGGAACTCTTCATTGGCAAATCAGTCCAAGCAGTGTGGCTGCTGCTAAGGCCCTGGGAGCTGAGAGAAGGAAGCTCTTAACTAAAGCCGCTTGCATGGCAGAGGACCGGAAGGGAGGCAGGGAAGGCTTCATGGGGAGGTCATCATTTATCTTGAAGGAAGAGGGGACAAACAGCTTATGCAAAGGCACAGACGCCAAAAGACCTGGGCATGGTAAGCTCTCTTATAGCACAGCTGACCTCTCATTGAGAACAACTAGAAAAAGAAGATTTAAAAAACCCACCTCTTTGGAGGCACTGGGAAACTAACAAGGTAGCCTACAACTTCAAAGCCATGATTCTGGAGGCCTGGAAACCCATTCAGGTGAGCCTGACAGTCAGTGCCACTTTTCAGCGCAAAGCATATGCCGATTTGTAAGTGGCGTGGGTCATGCGGTTGAGAAACTGAGCAAAAAGGGTCTCTTAAGAGTAAAGCACAGGAGCAGAACTTTCAGCAGCCTGGGAAGACAAAAACTGGATCAGCTGTGAAGACATTCAGCACTTGAGGGGCCGAGGCTGGAGGGGCCACAGAGCACTGAGCCTGATAGCCTGAGCTGCTATTCCCTCAAGTTATTTGCTAAGGATTCCTAAGTGACAGAGGTCAAGAGAAACTAAGCCAAAGCCACAGCCAAAAGGTTGTAGAGCCAAACAGAGCTTTCGGCAGGCCCACAAAGACAAATGGAAACTCTTCAGCACAAGAGAGACATCTTCAGGTAAACACCAAACCCTAACTAAAACCCCTGGCAAGCTGGACGACACGGGAAAGGCCAAAGGAGAAGGATGGAAAAGATACAGGATGCAAACACACACCTTTTATCATCCGATAAAGTGCACTTTCAGGCAAGAAACTTTGCTAGAGAGAAAGAGGGCGTTTTCATAGTGAAAGGGGCCATCTACTAGGAAGAGAGAACAATTCTAAATTAGTATGCACTAAGAATGCAGTTTCAAAATACAAAGAAAGCAAAGGCTGACGAAACTACATACAAGGACAGATTGCAAATTCACCGTCACAGTTGGAGATTTAAAACCACCTCTCTCAGTAACTGATAAAACAAAGAAACATCAGTAAAGGGAATAAAAGATACAAGCAAGGCCATCAACAAACTTGGCCTCGTTGACACATGCAGAGCCCTTCACCCAACAATCAGAATGCCAAGCGGCCTTTTCAAGTGCGCACCGAACATTTACCAGAATTGACTGTTTCCCGGGTCATACAGCCAATCTCAACACAGTTCAAAGAGTCAAAATTATTCAGAATGTTTTATGTCCAGAGTGGACGTATCCAAGAAATCAAGAGCAAAAAGAAAATGAAGAACTCTCCAAACGTTTGGAAATCAAGCAATATGGTCCTAATTCCTAAGTCATTCATGCCTCAAAGAAGAAATCTCATGGAAATGAGAAAGTATTTTGAACTAAATGGCATATCAAAACTTGTGGGATGCTGTTGAAACAGTACTGAGAGGGAAATTGAAAAGAGCAGCATGACGTACTCGAGCTGCAAATTATTTAGGTGACATTTTGCAGAAAATGTGATGGTGCACTTCCCTTGAAATCATATTTCTCGCATTTCTGGTGGTCCATTTTCAACGTTGCCTGAACTATGTTGGTTACACAGTTGATGGCACGCTGGCATCTGAAAATGTAATCTTTTCTCCCCCCTTAAACACGGTTGAGTGGTTTATTCTGGGTGAGCCTCATCTTTCTGATTGACGACTTATCCCGATATTATCAGGGGTGAAGATCCGTGTTAGTGCAGAGAGAGAACCAAGTTCCGTCTGGTCCTGAGATGCAATCCTGGAGGCCGAGATTCCTACAGCCCAGGCTTGGAGGTGAGTCATAAACTCACACAGACACACACAGCTCATCAGCTCCAAATGTTATAAACTTAACGATGAGTCCCAGGAGTGCTGAGCTGAGGCTTGATAAAGATTTTCCGAGTGTTCCAGACATTTCCTTTCAGTCTTCTTGGTTCAATAAAACTCAAATCATGTTTTGCTCCAAGCGTTTGTTCTCTTAATCTCGAAACCCTCCTGCCCCTTTTAAGCAAAATTGAATTTATACATTTCTCATTCATTTACACCTCAGTCCTGAAAATGTTCTGAAAAAGAGTCCTACCAAAAAAAAAAAATCTTTGAGCACTGCTACTGCCACTAGATGGGAGATTTTCCAGAGTTGAACATTCTTTCATATACAGTGTATTTTAGTTCTCCAACCTGTTTTCCCCAAATGAGGGTGTGTTTGAATGTGGCCTTCAGATGGGCGCACTGGGTGGGGTCTGTGAGAAAGGCAGTATCCGATGTACCTTGCACCTTCTTGCGAGGGTTGTGGGAGAAATTGTCAGAAACGCAATGCAATTATTTAAAGTCCACAGAGTCACTACACAGACTGCGACAAAATTACAGCTCTGTTGGTTGTGCGACAGTGTAACTAACGTTCACTCATTTTCCACCAAGATTGCAGAAAACAAACTCCTGGCAAAGAAGGGAGTCTTCTAGATTCCTCGGTTGACAGAAAGAAGGAGCCCTACTCAGTGTTTCAGGACCAGCAGCAAGGCCACACACATTAGGGACACCTGTGTCCCCTCAGCCCCAAAGCAACATTACAGTCCAGCTAAGCCCCTGGCTAAAGCTGCAGAGTAGAAATATCAGGGTCATTGCAGCAGCTCCGCCACAGGCAGAAATCTCTAGATGATGTTTTAAGTGGACCTCTTTGTCTGGAAAGTGGGCCCCGGGGTGACACTTTTGATGATTTACTTCAGTAGCTCCAGCAGTCTCCACAACTCCAGGGGGCAATTAGTCAAATGAGGCTCAAATCCTGCTACCAGCTAGCGTTCAGGCAGCAGTGGGGAAACCTCCCACGGCTTCTCCATTGGTCTCAGCTGGACACCGCCCCCAAGTGCCAGCACGCGGAGGAAGCCAGTTAAGAGCAGTGGTCGCCCTGTGCTGGAGACAGAGCCTCTAGAACGTTCCTGCAGGAAATAAGAGGCTTCCATGAGCAGGATGTTGTTGTTCCTCTTGACTGAGAAGCCAAAAATGACAGAAGTCATTGCAAGGAGGAGGAGGAAGAGAAAGTAGTGTCCAGGGAGAAAGGGTGCTTGTAGTTTTAAGATGGAAAAA